TGAGCATGATTTTTTACTGATAGAAGGGATAGAAGTTCATTAATTTGGAAGCAATTAAGTAGAGCTTAGTAGTGTTTGCTGTTAAAAAACAAGTGAATTTGAATCATATCTGAGAGATTTAAATTAAATGTGAGCATACTATTCAAATATTAGAGGATATTTAAATTTTGTACTGTGCTACCATGGAAAATCACGAATGTATTTTCTTTTTTTATTATGGCTAACATACAGAACATACACACTTCTTCCCAGGGAACTTGTGGTGATCTCTGAATGTATAATTTAAGGTACTGCATATGAAGTTTTGTACCACCATGCTGCATTTGGCCCTCTCTCCCAGAGAGCTTACTAATAAGATGTAGGCATTTGCCCTTGGCACCCTGTCTTACCTAAGACTTTTAAGATGACATGGCTCCACACATAGCGCCCTGAATTCTTCACCTTGCAGGTGTACCGGCCCTCATCACTGGGCTTCAGAGGCTCAATCTGTAGGGAGGCATCTCCTGCCAGGAAATTGGAAGCAAAGGCCACTCGGCCCTTCTGTTCTTCAGTCAAGTTATTGTAGACGTGACGACTGGAGTAAGTGATCACCTGTGGGATAGACCGAGGCAGGGTCAAGCAGCGTGGCTCTCAGCCTTCCTCTCCGGCTGATATGAAGATGAGGAAAGGGAGTACTCCCAGTGGCACAAAGTGGCCAAGCCCGGGGCTGATTCTACGTGTCCAAGTGACCTCTGTTCTAAATAAAAGCACAGTACATTTGCTAGGCATTGCTTCTCTTTCCAAAAATAGTAGCACTTCATATTTGTATAGCATTTAATTATAAAGTACTAATTATTTCATTAAATGCTCAGAACCACCCCATTTTATAACTAAGGAATTTTGATTTACATGCTGAAGTTCACACCGTTAAGGAAAGGAGGAAAACATACAAGTGTACAGCTATACACATATTAAGCATAGAATATTTCTGGAAGGGTTCACAAACTGGCTATCAATAGTTGACTCTGAGGAGAATTGAGAGAATAGAGGGTAAGGATGGGGAGGGGACTTACCTCCCTCCTGTATACCCTTTTCTATCTTTTGCATTTGCTACCACCTGCACGGGACCTATTCCAAATCCACCATGCTCCTTGTGCTAGGTGCTTTTACGTACCATTTAGTTCATTTTTCACCACAATTTTTCCAAGTAGTTATCCCCATTTCACAGACGGCAGAACCAGGATTTGAATCTAGGTTTTCTAAAGCCGTCTAGTTATTATATAACCACAGTTCTCTCTCTCCCTCTTTATTTTCCCACCTGTGTTCATTTAAGTGTTCATTAATTGTTCTTCCATAAAGTTTGGAAGTGGAGGAGAAAAAGAGAAACTGAAAAATCAGTGTGGTGTTCTCAGAACAGTTGAAAATCCAAGTGAAGGAACTGAAGAATTAAGATGGAGTAGAAGTTAATGGTTAAAATTCAGGTCTGATACTGAAGGTGTCATTGTTTGGTTTTCCTTCTTTGTTGGCGTTAGTGTGGATTAGTAAGAGTAAGTTAGATGGAAAAAAAATTGTTCCTTCCTTCCATAAAATACACTTGAGCTTCATGTCTTTGTTTTCCCAGTTAGGGAGACCAAAGTTCATATTTCCCTAACAGAAAAAAAAATTTATTTTTACTGAATTTTCATCTGCCTGCATCACAGCCTCTAGTTCTTTAAAATTTCCCTGGGTCCTCCTAGTCCATCACCTCACTACTGTTAGTCACAAAAGCTATGCTGATCTAGTCCATCAAAACTTCAGGCCATATGACTTCAGCTTTGTCCTCCCTGCCATTCAGCAATCATGTTCTTAAACTCATTCGATTTAAACATCAGCAAACATTTATGGAATGACTGCTTTTCATCACATTTGGAGGAAGCTGTTCAGATGAGTAAAACTCTCTTCTTCAAGTAATTTACAATCAAGTGAGATTAACAAGGAAAGAAGTATAAACATAGAAAAAGAAATGATTTACTTGAAATGGTATCAGGGAGATTGTCCCAAAAAAGTTGGTGGCATTTGAGTTAGGCTTTGAAAGATGAGTAAACTGAGAGATGACGGAGGCAGGGAGACGAGGGCTGGAGGGAGCATTCCAGATACATGGACGGGCACTAAAAAAGCCATGCAAGCATGTGGGAGTGACCCAAGTGTATTTCTAGCTGCAGCTGTTCCAAATTGTTGCACTGTACTTAAGCCCTTAACCCCATCCTCAATCACGTGATGCTCTGCAGCTCATCAGATGCTTTCCTGAAAAGATTCGAAGCCATCCAATAAAATGTCCATCAGTTCCTCTGCATTATATCAAAACTCTTCAGTATCATCATCCATTTGCCCTTACCATCTCTCTGAGAAAAATGTTTTCTCCTTTCTCTGCATATTCTTTTTCTTTAGCAAATATTTACTGAACTTGTGTGTCAGGTACTGTCCCCAACACTGAGAAAACAGATAGGAATAAGACACCGTTCCTACACTGAGGAGCTCATGGTCTTGGGGATGGGGGCTGGGGAGAAACAGGTGAGAGAATATTAAACACTGATAAGATACGTAAAGCATTTTCCTTCAATATTGCCTTCTCATTTCAAATACCATTACTATTGTGACAATTCTCATGTTGGTATCTCTGTCCCCAGTTTATTTCTGAGCTCCATTTTCTTATTTCCAGCAGCCTGGCTGCTGTATATTTCTGTCCTCTCTAGTCTACCCTCCATACTGCTGCCCAGTTGATCTTACTAACGTAAAACTCACATTCACTCTTTTCCGGCTCAGAAAACTTTAATGGCTCCCCACACCTCTGAATGATGACCTGACTCAGCCTAATGTCCTCAAAATTACCTCCCAATCTCATTTTCTTATTTAGTCCACTTCACATACCTGGGCACAATCACACTACATTATTTCCCTTTCTTTAATATGAGTGGTGCTTTCTTTGTGCTCCTGTGCCTTTGCTCACAGCATTTTCTTACTTAGAAACTCCTTTTTCTTCATCTCTCCACATAAAGAAACCCTATTCATTCTTTTAAGTCCAAAATCAGTGTTAACTCCTCACAAAACCTTTCCTGATATGACACTCTGAGAATGATCTCTTTTCTTTGCTCTCATCCATAGCATTTCTTTGCACCATTTTTATTTGAAGAGAAATTGTAAAAGACTTCATAATGGGCAAATAGGTTGCCCTTGCTATCATGCTAGGTATTGTCCAGGGCACCTTTTGGGGTTATCTGATTTTATGCACATCTGTTGTCTTTGTCTTTGTCCAGGCTATTTTGCAACTCTGCAGTCCTCCGTTCAATAAGCATTTATTAAAAACATACTCTGTGCTTGGTACCGTGCCAGAGATGATAACACTACAAAGAAATGAGTATTAGTGTTAAAAGATAACTTTTTTAAAGAAGGTAAAACTATGACTCTCATATACATAGAAAATAAACATGTCTCAAAGATTTTACTTCACTCAATAATTAATGATAGAACCAATAAGATGTTATAACCAGTTCAAATGAGAATTAGGACTAAAAAAGATTTATATTTTCCATTGGACAAAATTCATTTGCATCTCTATGCACAAGAATGATTTTCATTGCTATGGATAAGAAACATGAGCATCACTATCAGCCATCCACAAGTTAATTTCTATTTCTGTGGAAATTAATATATGAGAAAAATTAGACCCTAATTCATCTCCAGAAAACCTGGACTCTAAAATTGGACGCTTTCCTTCCCTCCTCTCCTCCCGCCCCCATAACAGAGCCTTCCCACCTCCCCCTCCCCATAACTGCAGCATCTATTGAAAAGAATGCAGAAATTCAAGGCAAAACATCTATCTAGGAATAAAGACTGAACTTTTGACTGAAATAATGCATTTACTGTACTTTTCAGAATTTTTTAATGTGCAAAATGATGTTCAGGAGACACCTACCAATGGTGTATGTGGGGGAAAGCTACATGCTATGGAGGGAAGGGAGGGGGAAAGGAAAATGATTTGTCTCCAGAAATCTTGGGTTCCAGGTAGAGCTCTGAAATTCATTTTGGACAAGGTCCTTCACCTTGTAGAATCTAAAAGGTTTAGAGTCCAAGTTTTCTGGAGATGAATTAGGTTCTAATTTTCTTCATGTATTAAAAGAAAACTGGAGAACAGTTCTTATCCTATGGACTTCACGGGCTTATAGTAAGAATTTAAAAAGAAACAATGTGTGTGAAAGGATTATTCCTTTACTCAGTGACCACTTTGTGACCTCTGTGCCAAGCATAGTGCTTGGCTCTGGCTTTGTGAATGTGAATTGGGCATAGAAATGAAAATCTGTGAACACAATGCAATGCATTCAGTCCAGATTTTTGTCTTTATCTAACAAAACACGTTTGTGGTGTTTATTGTGTGCTAGGCACTGTTCTTAGTATTTTACAAATATTAACTCTTTACGTTAAAAAAAAAAAGTCAGCATGATACAGTGAAAGTTTAAAACAAGACTAAGAAAGTGAGTCTCCGATAAACTGCTTAGATTTAAGGCCATTCTTTTGTTTAATAAATATTTGTTGAGTGCCCTCTATAAGGCGAGCACACATATCTTAATCTAAAACTAAGACAGCTGCAGTTTAATTCTGCTAGAATGGGGTAGTTCCTCTTGGCCCTCCTGTATACATGGTAGATATAACTAATTAATAACTGCACTTTCCCACTGAAGCTGGGTATCCTAGGGAGTTCTTAGGACCAGGCAGAGGTTTCTATCCTATTCTTACTCCTTGAAAGGCAACCAACCTCTTATGTACCAGCACCATTTCTAAGTCTTTGAGTAATTACTTAGTAACTAAGTCATTAGTCCCACCTCACTGCTTTTTTTTCCCTTCCCAATCAGATAAAACCTATGAACTCTGACCCAGAAAAATACACGTATTATTTTGCAAATAATCCCATAGGATTCCTAACACTCGACTGAAAGCCCTCTGCTTTAGACACAGACCAGGAAGAGCTAGGATCACAGCCCTTCTTCCGGATGTGGTATTTGTTTGTTTTAAATGTTTCCAGGGCGTTAGGCCCCACATCCTGTTATACTCTACAGGAAGGGTAGGTTTCCTGGCAGATGGAAGGAGCTGCCACAGAAATGCCAAACTGGTGGGACAATAGGGAGAGGAGAGATAGGGAAAGGAGGAAATGCATTGCAACAGGAAAAGACTGGAGTTTAGAGCTTATCTCTACTCAAAGACTGAAATTGAGGGGCTGATGTCTGGAGATAGGACAAGTAAGCTTGGAACACTTAATAGGTGCTCAATTAATGTTATTTTCTTTCTTTCTGCCTTGTCCTTATTTTCCCTGGGTGCATAATCACCTACAAGGACGTCAGTTTGTGCTTCCTAGGAAGAATGAAGAGATGCAAAGCCTCAAAGACAGTAAAGAGTTAGGTAATTTTTAGGAACTTCTGTGTTTTGTGGGCTTTGGGAGGTTGGTGATCTTTTGGGCTTGAGGGCTTTAGAATTTCTTTCTTGTTTATTTTAGTATTTGGGCTAGCATCAGGAGGTGCCTTTGTCTTGGAAGGTACATTTGACTTTGGAGAGCCTTAGTAGGATCTGGAGTAGAATCTAGC